TTCACTACTGTTGATTCAAATATATATGTATGTGTATATATGAAATCTTACACATTTATTACAATGGAGCGGAGAAAACAAAAGGCATACTCAAGAAACCGGGCACATCTGCATGGATTTCCACAGCCTTCCCGGTCCCGCATCACTGCTCCACGTATAAATTTTATGTACACTTACTTACTTCTGCAAACAATGAGAGCTTCGTGACGTGACTTAGTCCTGGGGCTGGTCAGTTGAGCCGGATCCGGAGTCCGACGTCCAGAGCTGTCTGCCATTGTCTGCCACGTTGCCACGATGCCTCGACTGGCACCACTGCCACGTCTGCCACTAGCAGGCAACTCCTTCTCTTGCCGCTTCCGTTTCTGGGTCGTTGGTAGCCAAGTGCAGCGATTTTGGTTTCCATTGGCATTATGTAGTTTAAGATTTCACCCAAAATGGGTATGCATACATATGTGTACTCAGTATATTTACATATATTTATTGTTCTGGAGGGCAGGCCAAAGAGAGCCATGTCCTGCGTCCTGCGGCCAAAAGAAATTGTAAACATCAACGTCCTTTTGAGCGACTCTGGCACATATTGTGTGTACGAGTTTTTGTCATGCTGGCAGAGTTTGCACAAAATAGAATCTTTTGATTTTTTCGGATGACCTTTTCCATTCAATTTTTATTTAAAGATTGCATTTTGCATAAAGTAGGAAAGTATTTGTTTGAAAAAACTTGAAAAAAAGCCTCAGCTTCAATTAATACATTGAAACATTGAAATCGAATATGTAGCCCAATTAAAAACTTAAACAAGAGAAAATATTTAGTTTCTTTTATGAAAACAATTAATTAAAAACAAAATAAATACAAGGGGAAGATAAATTTCATCCCAATGGTTATAATTTGTAAATAAAATGATAATCCCTCTAAATAATCTTTCAAGTAATTTATCTGTATTTCTGTTTAATTTAAATAAAAATACCTTGAACTAATATTTCAAAAATAATAGCTTTGCTTCAACCAATAGCCATAAATATTAATTTCCCTTCCTAGGACCTACCATTTCGTTTTTAAATTCAATTCATTTTCTTTAATTAATTCAAAGTCATAAAACAAATTTCCCAGGCAGGGTAGCTCATCGCTCACCCACTTGGCCATTAGATAGCTTTAAGCCACAAATAAGCTTTAAGTGGCCACTCGTCTCGGCCCCCCTTCCACACTTTAACAACCTATGGGACATATCCTGCAGACAGAGTGTCCTAGCACCGCCCCTAACAACATTGTCAACATTGAACAAATCGCTGCCATCAGTTCTGAGAACATTGTTTAAAGAACATTTTAAAATTCAGCATCAGCAGGAGAAACAAACTGCTTATTTTTGTTGCTGTTGTGGCACGAACATGTCCTGGCTTCCTTTAGCTTTTTTTTCTGATTTTTTTGTTGTATATTATTTCATACGCACGCTACTTAAGCATGGCAATAAATTGTCGTGCGAAATTTTCATATGCGCCGTCGTCGTCGTCGTCAACCCAGAACAACAAAAAAAAAAAGGCAAATGCCACGCCCTCATCTGACCCCCCATTTCTGCCCATACCATGGTTATAGGAACACGCGCCTTTGAGGTTTCCCTCTTTGGAGGCAACATGGTGGATCCTTCAAGGAGCTTTACCCATCGTTGCGTGCTGGTTTGTTTCGCTTTTTTGTAATTTTCAATTTAAGCTACACAACGTGTTGCTTGCCACATTGCCACATGGCAACTGGTAAATGGCAACTGGCAAGGGGCAACTGGCCGTGCCACATCTCCGGGGCAAGCCATTTAGTGAAAAATTAAGTGCCCGACGTCGTCGTCCTTGTCGTATGCGTGTTAATTTTGCAACTCTTAGCAAATGACGCATACGACACGTGGGCCCCAGGGCGTAAGCTTAGTTGCAATTTATTAAACATTTCGAGTACAAATTGATTATTTTGTTTGCACACTTTATGATCCCTATTACCGCCGGCACTGCCACTTCAAGTGTCGATTTATGAGCCCGACAATCGCGCAGCTTCCTCTCCTTTCTTTTTTTTTGGTTTTATGAGAGAAGAAAAGTACTTTATGCCCCACACACATTTGACCACCCACCAAATTGCACACATTGTAGTTGCTTCTTCAGCAGAGACTTTTATGATTGCCACAAATCGCATTATGACTTAATTTTTACGCTGCCACGTTCATAACATTTATGTAGTGTTAAAAAGAAATATATATACTCGCGCATCCCGTTGCCATTTCGCGTGCTACATAAAATATTTAATTATCTGCAATGATCTGGTGGCAATGGCCTGCTTGTCCTGGTGCCCCAACTTGTTGCTGGTCACGTCGCAGCTTGTTGCCTGTCACCTGCAAATTCGCCAAATTGCCACCTGCCATTCTGCCACTTGGCACTGTCACTTGTCCTTGCCAGCTGTTTTGTGGGCGGTTGAGAGGGTCAAAGGGCGATGCCTGGTTCACCCCTTCAGCTGCTTTCTGGATGGGCCGTCACCTGGCGTTGCAAGTGTCTGCAAAATAGTTGCCACAGATGCTGTTGAGCTATTAACGGAATCTGACCAGCCGTCAATTTGGTTTGCAGTTGGCACCCCCAGGTGGGCTGAGGTTTCCTTTCCCAGGCGAGGTAGAAATGGCAATTATAGTGGTACAATTTTAGGTTGCAGTCAGTGTGATGGCCAAGAGATTTTAGTGCATTTAGGACAAGAAATATTTCAAGTTAGAAGCTTTGTACATATATAGTCATTAAAGATATATGTTTTCTAAACAAAGAATAATTTATTTTCCTAGCCACAACCATTAGCATTACTCAGGCTTTTAAATAACTACTTTTTATATTTTCTTCCTCATATAAATACAATATATAGCTTTAATTTTGATTTATATATTTTTAGTGGGTTTTTTTGTTTTATTTTATTCTTCATTGTGGAATGCCACACAATTTTCGTATCTTGGCCTTATCATTCAGGCCGTATTTTATTCTTGTTTTCGGCCGTTTTGCCAAGAAAGCAAATTGGATACTTGACTACACAAATAAATTTAAATATTTAAGTTGAAAATATGATATTTTTAGTAATTTTCCAAGTAATCATTATAACTCATAAAATCAAGCATGTTGATTTTTGGGATTACATTAAGATTTAAGCCAATTATAAGGAAATATATAATATATGAATAAAATATAATACAATTTTCATTTTGATGTTTTTTTTTTTTATAAAAAATCCCTTTCAAGTTCTCCAGTTACAAACCTGTGGCTTAGGGCTTCAAGGAAAAAACGAAAAAAATCCTTAAAAAGGCCACATTAACGATAGAAGAAAAGAAAGTTTAACACTTGCCCAGGCTTCTGTTTATTCAAGGTTGGCTTAGGAACACAATACATATAAAAAAAATGGAAAAAGAAAAGAAATACACTGACCGTCATTTGTTTTCTTGACACTTCTGAAAGCTTCTCAACAAGAGGCAGCCTTTTTCTTCTTGCCTTTCTGGACCGTTCTTGGAATTTTCTTATACTCTTAACTTTTTTGTGTTTAATGTCATTTGCCTGTGAGACCGAAAGAGTTTGTCACTAAATAAGTCGCAAGTTGATATTAATAACATCTCATTATCGCCTCGTTCCGAATTTCAGCGCTTAGATGAAATATGTTCGCATCGGCAATTTATCATAATGAAGACAAACGACGTCAGAGGATGACCTTCAAAAAGTTTTTAGATTCAAGTTTTTAAGTTTCGGCGATTGTAATTGATGAGCTACGAAATTTTTAAGAATTTTTCAAAACCAATTATATAGTTGTCACTCGAATTTAAATCTTTAAGGTACTCCTGGCTTCTTAAATCCTTCAACCTTTTGGAAAGAACACCTTTTTGCGCATATATTTTAAGATAATGCTTTGTTAGTCGGAATTTTCCAATTGACTGAGATGAAAGGCAATCAGAGCCACAATGCCAAGATAAGGCGAACTCACAGAAGAGATGTAAAGTGTCTTATTTTCAGTTCAGTGACCAGTCGAGATGATTGACTTCATGCAAATTTTCTTGTTAAGCCCGATTGTCTGGTCAGAAAATTTGCATTTGGTTCTTGTTTGACCAGACAGGCTATCTACCGACTATCACAAAATTGAAAGCTCTACCTCTTTGAATGTCGAAAATTAATTAATTAGAGTAAAGCCAAATAGAATGCCGGCCAACAAATGAGAGACAGGTGGTTAATATTTAACAAAATCAGAGTAACAACAAATATACAAAACAAATGTTTTCCATCGAAAACATTTTTGATTGATTGGAATCTAATAAAAGAAATAAATACACTTTATACTCCGAAGATTGATCAATTGTTATGAGCAGAATCGAAGCAGATTTTGGGCTTCCCCCAAAAATGTCATCTTTAGTTTCCAAAATTTAATAAATTGCTCGCCTTACGTGCTTTATTTCTTCATCATGTCACAGGAAATTCCATAAATTTTCAAGCTGAAGCTGAGAATCGATCTGTAGAGTACATATCTCCTGCAGCATTATTAAATTTATGCACTAACCGATAGGAGTCAGCAGTGGAGGAAGTGGCGGCGGACACGCTTTGTGCTCTTAATGTGGTGGCAACAGTGCGTATACGCAATTTTGTATTTAATATTGAATGTCTTCTGATATTTTTCCATGTGTCTGCGCATCCCGAAATGAGTCAGGAAATGAGATTGTTGCCAATTTAATTTTATTTTCATACAACACTTTAACAATAATTTGAATTAATGGTATCATAATATAATTGGAATTTATTAATGGTGCTATCATATATGTGTTTTCCCTTGATCAGATCTAGTGTATAGTTAAAGTGGTTTAGTGTAGAGTTAGTTAGAAGAACCAAGTAAAGGAGAATAAATCCTTGTAAGCCTCGTGTTTCTTTCCATCTTCTTAAAACTTAAAATTTGGTTTATAACCTTGGGAAGCAAACAATTATTCTTTCCATATTTTATACAATTCTATTCATACTCACAGATATTTTTAAAATAAAATATTCATTCCATAGAAGCCGCTGCAGCCGCCGATTCTTGATTTGCCGCTGCAATTTCTTTCTCAATTGTCTGTTTCAGTTTCCTAATATCGGCATCCAAGTACAAAATACGCTCGTACTTGGATGTCAGCTTATTGATAATGCCGCTGAGGTGTCGCCTCAGGATCTCCTGCAGCTCCTCCTCGTTGGGTCCTGTCATTTGCCTTGGTCGCAGTTTATATTGCAATTCGTCCTCAGCCAGAGCCTCCGCCAGGCTGTCCTCAGCCTCTTCCTGTTCTTTTCTCAGACGGGATAGTTCGCCATCTATATCTGATCGTTCGGCATTCATCGCCTCAAACGTATTTATTTTATGGCCCAGTTCCGGACCAAGGATCACGCCAGGATTAATCAAACGCGTAAAGCTTTTCGATGCCTTGGACATTATGAAACAACAGTTTTTTAGAATGGAGATATATATATATATATTGGAGAATGAAATACTGAGGCCTACGTTCCTTGTATGTTTTCTAGTATAGAAATGAGGAACACAAAATTTCAGGATGACATATCAGAAAGCACGGCAAGCTTTTTTCTCAGAAGCTGAATGTTTCTCTGATTTTAATCAAATATTTAAAATTATAAAATTATAGTTTTCTTTCATTGAGGTCCTTTGTTTTTTATTAATTTACACCTTAGCCTTCTCACCTTTCTGGGTGATTCTTATGCAAATAGAATTTTGAGAAAATAATGAAGAACTGACCGCAAAGTTAAATTGCCTTGGATTTGAATAATAAAAGGAGCCCAGGTCCTTCAACGGCTCATGTGTATATATATAGGAGTGGAAAATATTGGGGCGAAAAAATATATAACTCAGGGCGCGTGTCCTAATTAATAAGACCACCTCGACGCCATCATTGCCATTTGAGCCCTGTAGATTCTTTTTGTTTTTTTGTCTTATATTTTTTTTTTTATACGAATTTCCCAGCGGCATTTTGCGAAATGCAAAAACAACAATACACCGACACACCACACACACTGCAAATAATGTGAAGAATACAATGGAGGGAGTGTAGCCAAAAATGATGAAAAGAAACAAAGGAGAATAGAGATATCTCATTATGGACAAAAGCAGGCCAAACGAGCCCAAAATAAAATGAAAAAATTATGCAACCAAAGAAAAAGGAAGAAAAACAACCAAAAAAAAAGTCCAGCTGGCCTGTTTATATCCTTCCTTCACACACCCATCGGTTCATCAGTATCCTCCGACCATCCTTCGACCATTTTTCGGCCATTCCATCTGCCATCCAAATTTAGGAATTTGTTTACAGCACTCGAAATGGAGTTCCTCACTGCGAGTTAGTCCTTATTTCTTCCTTTTTTTCAGCTGTGTTCTTTTTTTTGTTGGTCTTATTGTTGATGTTGTCCAGCTGAAACACGCGTGCCAAAAATAATCAAAATATAATAAGCAGACTCTTCCAGGCGCTGGCAAATGAGGCATGTAATAATTTCTGCCCTGCCTCAAGAGCACTCTGTCCCTGATTTTCTAGTTACAAGATTTATGGCGGGTAGTTTGGCAGTCTGAGCTGGCTTACACGGTATATCCAGCTTGATGGTTGGTTGTCGTTATGAGTCCCGAAAGAACAGGTCTCTTTTTAAGAAATATGTTAAAGTTACAGTAAGAATAGGATTTTATTGTCAACTTTTTCACAATTATGAATGAAAATTTCTCTATTCCATCCCTTTTCGATTTTCCTGAAACTTCCTTATCTATAATATTCCTATACAACCTATTTCCATTTTATTTTATACCCTATAGGATATCCCTAAGCCGACTACAACCTTTGTCAAGCCTAAAATATCAAATTAAGCAATTTCCCGCCCAGTTATGAAAGTAACAATTTTACGAGTAGTTCACAAAACATTTCTATCTGCTCAGATTTTTTCATTTATTCGCTTGTTCATGCCTTTTGTAGCTTCCTTGGCTTTGCACACTTTTAGGTCATCATCATTCGGTAAGTAAGCTGGATTACTGAAGGATTTCGTTGGGGTTTTCCACGACATTTCTCTATTACTCGGCTCTCGACTTGACAATACAATGCGGAAAGCAACAGATCCAACAGTCGTCGGTATTTCGCTATCTGACCAAAGTTATGCAAATCGCTTGCTTCAGCCTTCAGTTTCCAAGCCACAAGGTGGTCAGCCAAATATGAACGGATGAAAACCACGAGCCCTGAAATAGGCAATTTGCTTATGGAAAAATAAAAGGAAGAAGGTGCCTTAATTTTCGCTTTATTCGGCAAATATATGCTTTACCGGGCGAGTGCTTTTTAATAAGTTAGTTGCCCAACATTCACGCTTCTATGTTTTTTAGCTCGGCCTTCGGTTGTGTGCGCTCGCATAATTAAAAATGTACACACGTGTGCTGACATGGAGACCACGTGTTGGCTCTAGGACCAGCTGAGGGATGAGGCTAAAGGGGTTTTTTTCCCAGTTAATATTTACCTGAAGCTCAGCAGCCCTAGCAGCTCTGGAGGTCTGAAGAGAAAGCTAAAACCTTCACATCATCATTATTATACGTGGCGTATACTTAATATGGCAAAAACGGTACCTGAACCTAAACAAAGCGAAATGAAGCAGTTGTATTGTCCAAGCTGAACTACAGAGATTAAATGTTAAGAGAAATGAAGTTCTAGACAATTTAGGAATTGGCTTTTAACTTTAAATTTTTCATTTTCAACGCCTTATCTGAGCAACTATTTTTCCTTGTCGTTTTATGTAAATATTCCTTGTCATTTCTCCTCAAAATACTTTTGGAAAAAGTCTTTTGTCGGATAGAAAGTTTCTATTAGAAACAACAATATTGTAGTAGGAAAAGATATAATAACCAAAATAAAAATGTTCGAAAAATTCCTTATATTTTTTATCAAAAATTTTCTTAAGAAAAAATAAATATTTAATTTAATTATGAGACTAGGGTTTAATATTAATTTTTGATATATCAATCTTGTTTTTGGATTCATTTGTGGGTGGTTTTGTTCCTTGAATTGTACCTTTAATTCCACCAATTAGCCCCCATATTTTATCCTTTATTGCTTGGATGTGCGGAGCTGATTCGATGTGTATTATTGAACCGATCATCAAGAGCAGAAGCAATCCCAAACTCGAAGTAAAATGCATCTTAGTTTTAAAAAAGTTTAAAAATCGGAAAAACCAGTTGCTTTTATACTATTTCCCTTAAAGAAACCGTAACATTTAAATTTATATGGTTTTATTAATTATTATTAGGTGTATAATAAACCGTAAAAAAACGAATCATTTTCAAAAGGTTATAGAATATATTTCAAATCTTTCAATTGGACAAATTTGTATTTAATGTATTTTTAATCTTGAAAATAACTGGTGTGTCAAAATTCCGTGTTCCAAATTCCGAATATAAATATGATATTTCCTGAGGATCTTGAAGGTTTGTGTATGTCAGTGACTAAATGATTAATAAGAAATATAACGTTTTAATTTCTTAGTTAGAATCTTCCAAGAGGCTTCCTAAAATGCCCTGTGGACTGGGTTCTGTTGTACTAGGCCCATCATTTTCACGTTGTTTTGGTCCATGACCAATTAATTCCAAAATCCTATCCTTTATACAGCGGAAGCAAGGAGCTGATTCGATTGGTACCATTGTACCAATTACCAATAGAACAAGTAATCCTAAGCTCAAGCTTAGATGCATCTTAGCGTAAAATGAGCTACAAAATAAAGAGAAGTCAGATTATTTTATACTTTTCCCATTCAAGAACCCGTAACATTACAATTTTTATGGGTTTCTTGTAATTATGTGTATAATAAAGTGTTAGAAGCGAAATATTCCGGAAAGGGTTAAATATATATTTATAATCACATGAAAATGAGACATGAGTCTTCCTAAATGGCCCCTGGTTTCCCACAATTTTGAGTTTTTTGTTTTCCATAATTAATTATTTTCAACCATTTTTTTCTTTATATGGGTGGGGATGGGTATCACTGTACTGATCATTAAGAGCAGAAGCAGTCACAAGCTCCAAGTAAGTTTCATACTAGTTTTAAATAAGCTTTAAATAAAAGACCAAAATGTTTATTTTATAATATTCCCCTTAAAAAATTCAGAACATTAAAATTTTTATAGACTTTATAATTGTTCAGCTCTTGAAAATACCTAATTTGAAATAGTCAGCCAATTCATGGAAATTTTAATTTATTTAAAGGATATATAAGAAGATGTATAATTGTTGTGGCTTATGAAATATAATAATTAAAAAGAAGCTTCTCTACTTAATAGAATACTACCCTAAAAATATAATTTCTTTAAATATCAAAGAAAAATATCACTATATGTTTAATTTGCCAGAATTTATTTAATCATTTTCAGGATGCTTTCTAGGATTGTAAAATAAAAATAAATAAATCACACACGCGCCAATTTTTACCAAATTTTTTGGCAAATACATGTGTAAGTGGGTCAGTCCCTAAATTCCGCAATATGATACATTCACTCGCCCACAGGATCCAGAGAGTTCGTGTGTGACCCTTGTCAGTGCCAATGAAAATAAAAATAAAAAAACAATATCAATTTTGGCATAAACGAATCGAATTTCTTGCATTGACATCAAACAAATTTTTTTGTTAGCCTTGTGGCGTTGCTAAAAAAATGTTTTTGCATGGGTTCCAATTAACTAGGAAACCAAACTACCAATACCCATGTGTTTTTGAAGTTTTTATGAGATTTTTTCGTTATAAATAAAAATCCATGCCAGGCCACGCCACTAATTACTTGCACGAACCTATGGCATTAATTAATTTTCATTTAAGTTAGACGCCTGGAAAAGTGAAGCCTGTTGATATACCGATTGAAAATTTATTTCAGCTGTCATTCGGCGGTTAATGGCGAAAACCTGATTAACATCGGTTAATTGACAGTTTGGAAATTGGTCAACGATTGGGTTTTAATTAAATTTGTTGACACCATTTAATGAACTTTTTATAACACAGAAATATTTCAGAACTTTGGAGATAACCCTTTAAGGGGTTATATACCTTCTTTGTCGAAGAAAAAGAGCAAAGTTCGGATTTTTTTTTAGGTATGTAGCAATTATTTAATTACACGGATGTTTTAATTTTTTGATAGTACACTTTATTAACAATGTTTGTGCAAAATTTGGTGGAAAAATATTAAATAGTTTTTAAGGGGTGGCTGTTTCCTTAGAGGCCTTTTTTTTTGAGCCTTGCGGTGACAGTTCCCCAGGTCAAACAGGTCAACTAAACCATAAAAGTAAAAATATTTCATTAGTTTAGAGTAATCTCTTGTGCTTGAACGATCGATTTTAAAATTTTTGTTTTTGTTTGGATATGGCAGCGTTTTATGCTAAAAATGAACGTTTTGGTCTCTAGAAATTTCACTAAAAATTTATTTCGCCGAAAAAAGTTTGCGCGTGAAAAGTCGATCGTTCAAGCACAAGAGAATTTCATTACGAAC